ATCTAGAGCACCATAAAATAGCCAATGCTCTAGCCCCTTTGTTCCATATTGCTAAAAAGCATCTTTTAGTGTTTATTGCATAATCCATTAGTCAAGTTACAAGATCATGGTTGTAGTTGAGCACTAGCATCATACTACCCAATGCAATAACCCAAAGGTATCAAGGTACATGGTAACAAAGTACTAGGAAATCCTTAGTGGCAGTCAAGGTAGACACATGCAGTATGAATTAAATGATTAAAGGTGTATAGGACAACAAGGAAGATCCCATGCTATACTTGCCTTAAACTTAGATCCTTCTTCCAATCCAAATCTTCAAAGATCTACTTCTGGATTCACCACGCATAACTTATCGACTAGACAAGATCATAAAGCACCACACAAGCATCCTTGCAATCATACACGAAGCAAACAATAGATCTAAATTAGTATAGTACACCAAACATAAAATCTAGATGAAAAGCTTATAAAACGAATCTACGTCTTGCTATGAACACACAGACGCGAAAAGCACGCTAATCGGAGCTACGGTGAAAAAGATGCAACTACCGATAGATCTGCTTTATACGTGGAAAAGAAAACTATAGGCTTCATTTATTTTAACCATATAAATTCATATATATATAATATTTTATAAATGTTATAAATTGAATAAGTCAAATTTAGATTTGAATTAAAAAACTACAGTAAAACAAACCATATTTTATTTATAAAATACAGTTGCATAATCATTAATCAAGATATGATTTAAACCATGAAATTTTAGAAATAGTAATATGGTAAACACTGTTACTAATGTGTAGATCTCGTTGCAATGAATCTAGCACAACTTGAACGGGTCAATTCGGAGCGAAAACGTAGAAGATATGAAATAAACAAGATTTTCTTTAGTAAAATAATAGATTAAATCTAACCTTGAATTTAAAAGTTGAAAACATATTTAACAATAGTATGAACATGTAGATTATGAAATTACGAACCTAACGCAAGTTGAACGGGTCAAATCGGAGTTAAAACGGAGAAGTTATGGCCTAAAGAAGGTAGTGGCAAAATTAGAAATAAGTGAAAACGTATTTTGGATTTAAACCGACAAAACTACGCTTTCCAAAGAAGGTAACGTAATCAGTGATTGTGCTTTGGACCATGGGTTAGGACTTAAATACTTATAAGGGCTCTTTTGCAAAAACTACAAGACGAAGGGGTATCAAGCTATATCAACCGTTAGATCTAGATTGGAGGGCCCGGATTAGACAGAGGGAATTGGAGATTCAGCTGGCCGTAACAGTGACCGGCGGCGGGATTTGTCGCCGACGTTGTCGATTCCTCGACGATGAATTTGGGGTAAAACGGCTGGGGCTAAATTGGACTCTGATAAGCTCTGGGACATAGATTAGGGCTAAGGCAACTCAATTCGGCGATTAACAGCGACTAGTAGCGAGCATGGGCGGCTGGAGGCGAACTATGGCGGCGGTGGAGCGATGGTGTAGAGGTTCCGGTCAAAGCAGAGCGAGCGAGAGGGAGTTAAGGAGTTCTGCGGGTTCACGAAGTCCATGCAAAGGTTGGAGATCATCTTACCGAGACGGATGAACAGCTAAGCGGTGCGGCGACGTCGGCTTCACCCCGGCGGCTCGGGATGGCTGCGAAGCTAGAGTTCCTTGCGGCGTAGGGCTTGCGCTAGGGATTGGTGGGGAAGGCTCAGGCGCAGGGCTTCGTTATTTAAGACCCGGGCATCCGTGGGGCACAAGACCGAGGTAGGGACAGACCCACAGGGTATGCAGGGTGGGCCACCGCATACCCTGGGGTCCGCCAGTCATAGAGATAGGTAGAAATTTTCAATGTAAAAAAAAACCTTTGACCGAATTGCATAATAAAATTTTTTGCTACGCATACTCAGAGGTAAAAACCTAGGTCCGTCACTGGACCGAGGGGGTGGCGTAGCGGAGCCAGACATGGACACCTGCGAAGGAGTCCGGGTCCGTTACGAGGGTAGGAGACGAACCTGATAGGGTGGCCCCACCTATCGGCGCAAGAGAGAGGGAGGGAACGCGTGGCGCGGGCAGCTGGGCCACGACTTGGGCCGCTCGGCTAGAAACCAGAGAGGAGAAACGCTTGGGCCGACTCGGGATCGGGCCGCTGGGAATAGGGACGGGCGACGCGGCGCTGCAGGCGCTGGGCTGTGGCTTGATAGGGCTCTGGCCCAAGCGAGAGAAGGAGAGGGGAGCGGCCTTTGGACCAGAAATGAGAGAGGAGCCAGTCTGGAACAAACCGTGGGCCAGAAGGCAAGGGCTTGCTCTTTTTTTTTTCCAAATTGTTGTTCCTATTACTTTTTCAAGTGGGTTTTGAATTCATTTGAACCCTGAATCAAAACAAAATTAAATATTATTTCAACTATACTTTTCAATTCAAATATAAATGATAAATTTTGGTAAGTTTTCAAAAATAAATTTTTACAACTTTTTAAATGCTTTTTACTTTCTAATTTTCTTTTATTTTATTTTCAAAGCCATTTTAATTTTATTTTCAAAAGCAATTCAAACCATTTTTACTCTTGATTCAACCCACTCAATCAATAAATCAAATGCACCGATATGTATGCACATACATGTTGTTACCTTATGATAATTTTTAAATTAATGAAAATTTTTATTTTCCCTATGTTTTCATGAGCACATATATTCAAAATTACCTCATTTTACATCTATTTCAAAAGGAGCAAATTTTAGGGTGTTACAGACACAAACAAAATTTTATTGGCAAGAAAATTTAGGTCGATGATAAAGGGATCACTCCCAGTTGGTAATACAATCCGGCAGTGATGACTGCCGATTGATTCTAACATCCGGTAGTCATAGGCCTATTGCTTACGGACAGGCAGTGATACCTCTATCATTGTCATTTTAAAATTCTTTAGTAGTGATGGGCTGATAGAGATTGTTTTTTTTATAGATAAGGGACAAAGTTCCAGCCTCTATCATTTGAAAATAGTACACAGCTGAGATAGAGATCGTATGTTCTGCAGTAGTGAATGCAATTAATTTGTGTTTGTACTTGCTTTACATAATGGTCAACCAGATGTCACTGGCTTCCTCCTTTCAAGAGGGCGGCCCAAACGAGACCCCTTGTCAAGGACAAAGGCAATGTAGGACACAAAATTGGCATGAGAAATAATACAGGAAGGCAAGTTCAAGGACACACCGTTCACATTATCAATCCATTCGACTTGAAATCCACATGCATCTAGTACCAAATCCATTGTTCACATGGGCTCACAAGGCAGAAGCACTGGCGAACCCGGGAGAGTTCAATTGCATAGCAAAAAAAAAAGTTATTATTTCACTCTTTTTTGATGATAAATATTATGTTTTTCGTTATGAGTACTAAATATATACGTAAAAACATTAAAAACTATTGAGACATACACTTTGTACATATTTACCACGGCAGGAACAATATAATGATGTGCATAAACTGGCCAGTCGAATCCTAATACTGCAAGTCTACAACAACTAGGGCACCAAACAGTACATACTAACCAAACGAGTTTATTAAACTTATCGATATATAGTAAAATTTCTCTCATTTCCCAATAAACATCCTTCATGATGGGTGTCAGCAGAAGCATTCCAATGAAGATACAGAATGTATGTAGGTAGTTATATATTCCTACACCCGCCACAGATCCCACCAGTGGTTATAAACCATGAACAACATTGCCACCAACACGCCCATGGAAAGCAGCAGATACACCACCAAGTACATGTCCTAAATACAAGAGATCGACAAGAGACCACAACAGAGATTATTAGAATGTACTTCAAATAAATACTACACTAGATCTTGCATGCAAAAGAAGATGGGAACAGCTAACAATTGAAGCGAATACGCAAATTGTATGGATGGAATATCTATCCTCGACCGATAGCTAGAATATAGATGCAGGAAAAGGTTCAGATGTTAATTAAATAAGGACCATTCTATACTTCTACCACACAACTTGATGTATCAGACAAAGATAAACCATGAGAAAATAGATACATAGCAATAAAGCATCTAACCTTTAGCTCGTTCACATCATTTTCAGAAAGATGATGTGTACCCTGCATCGGTGCTTGCTGCAGTTTCTGTGATTGCTGCTGTGCTTTGAACTGGAGCTGCATTTCACTGCTGGCCAATTGATTCCTGTTGCTGTTGTCGTGAAACAATTATAGGCTGCTTAGTTGGAAAATATGGGACTGTGCACTGTCCAGCCCAAGGCCGGAGGCCAGAGAACTTCTGTAGTGTCATGGGTTGCTGTGTTGATAGCACAAGTGTTGGATGCAACAGCGATTGCTGCTGGATGTGTTGTTGCATATAAGGATGAAAACGGTCGAACTCGGTCGAAAAACTCCTTAACCGTTTTCTACTTTTACATTTGAAATACGAAAGCGAAAGCGGACAAACCGGACACAAAAATGAACACGAACTTACGGAATATCTAGAATTTCAGAAACGAACCAATTCGAGCGGAATTATGTCGAACACGGTCGGTATGCGAAAATTCAATACGAAATACCGACCCATAGTGCATAGCATTAAACAAGTGCACGACCAAATACGTAACAAGTTCACAACTAACAAGCTCATCCCACGGCGCTGGGTACGGGCGCCGAGGCGGGGAATGGACAGGCAGCGGCGGTGGCACCTAGGGCCTAGGGGCGGTCGAGAGCTCCTTTGCTCTAGGGTTTGGGTGCTGGGGCACGCGGTCATGGGCCCCACTGGGTGCATAAAATCCTGTAGTGGCTTGACTAGATTAAAACAAATCAAGAAATACAAAATCTACATCATGAGAAGCTCCTACTAGAACATCACGAGAAGGCAAGGAGCACCTGTAGCATCACGGCAATGAACACCTGCACCTGCAGCTTCATGGGAACAGAGAAATTACAAGCACCTGCAGCACCGGATCTGCATCAAGCACCTCAGTGCCCCCTCCGCCGGTGGTGTGGAGGCCACTATGACCGATGGGTCGGGGTGGAGGCCAGGAGAGGGGCACGCCGGTGAGGAGATGGCTGCCACTGCGGAAGTTGCCTCATGCCGCCACTGGATCTGCGGCTGTCGTTGCGGCTAGGAGAGGAAGTGCCGTCACAAGTGGTCTGGGGGCATCGCCACTGGATGCAGGGGGCCTTGCCGTCGCCACCAACGGATGCGTCGGAGCTGTGTCAGGGCTACGCGCAGGGCCGCCGTGTTCCGAGCCTCGTGTTGCGATGCCGGAGAAGGGAGACCGCGGCGCGGATGCGATCAGGGCCGGCGTCGATGTCGAGCTGCTGCTGCTCGTAGAGCCTCCTCTCCGGTGCCTCCCGTTGGTCCACGCACTGCCGGGTGCGCGCGCTGCCAGCCGCCGCCAGCCGGTGAGTCTGCCCCGGCCCTCCCATTGGCGCGCGCGAGCCAGCCACGACGCCCCCGCGCGAGGTCCTGCAGTAGAGCCATGCCACCGGCACCAGCGACGAAGCCAGGAATCGACGAAGCCAGGGCTGGCTTCCTCTTCTTCTTCCTCCACTTCCTCCAGCCCCTCCTTGCCTTCTTCTTCCTCCTCATGGCGGTAGCCCGGGCTAAGCCCGGGCTCCATGTAAATCATGGCCGTAGGGGGGGCTGGAGCACGGGTAGCCCCCCCGCTGGCTTCGTCGCTGACCGGCACCATGGCCGCTCACCGAGCTCTCCCTGCGGCCGCCGGCATTCCACTTCGCTCACTGGGGCTTGGGCTTTGTGCGTCGAAGCGGGCCACGAGAGGAGGTGGGGTTCGGCTGGGCCGTTGGGGAGGCCAAGGCTGTGTGGGCCGAGGGCGCAGGTGGGCTGCTCGTGCGCGAGCTGGACCAAATTCGGTTCGGAAGACTCCGAATAAAATATAGAAAAGTAGAAATCGGTCGAACAAAACCTAAACCGAATTCGATCCGATTTTGAATTTAGTATTCCGTATTTTAAATTCGAATTTAGTATTTCGTATTTTGACCGAAAATATGAATTCGCTCGGGTCAAATGTAGAAAACAATGCGGTTCGGTTCGGGATATTTTCTTTCCGTTTTCATCCTTAGTTGCATAGGTGGCTTTTGTTGCTGCTGAATATGCTGTTGCATAAACATTTGCTGCTGCTGAAGTATTAATTTCCTTTGTGCAGCAGAAATATCTTCGGGATTACCTTGTGTGAAACCTTCGTTCATAGTGTTTCGCGGCACGCCAGACATATCCTGCAGTGTAGATGTCTGGCTGAAAGCTAGCATGCTCTGACCAAGCATAGAGAGATCAGAAGCAGTTTGCTGAAACATAGGAGTCACTGATAAGTGTCCAGGATTACAACCTTGTGGAAGAAGTCCAGGTGTTGTGTCTAGAAAAATATATATATTGGGTGTATGTTAGAACAAGGACATGCTCAAAACTGTGACAGGCACTAAGCGCAAAAAAGAAACACGTTATAGATAATAAGATTGAAACAGGAGTGAATATATGCATTATCTGAAAATAAAAAAAAACATGTATAATGAAGACATATGAGAAACTAGCACCTGATTTCAGAATTAACATTGGTTGTTTTGAGGAACCTGAGAATCATAGTGCATTAGTTTTATCTGGCCAAAATGGATACTCTATTAACATAATCTGAGGAAACGATCAAAGAATCGAAGACGGTCCTACTTCGTCCTGGCAGGCCACACCATAGCAAACTGGCCCATGGGTTTAGTTCAGTCCATAGACCAGCCAGCCAGGCTAGCACGCGTGGTGTGCTCCTGCTCGGGCCACAACTGGAAAGCTACAGTGTGCTCGTAGCCTCGTACCAGCCTTGTTATTTCGGTAATTCTGGGAAGCAGGCGTCTGTCCCTCCGGACGCTCTGTTGTTAGGTCGCGACGCATATCTTATCTACTCGTCCGCTCGTCCCGCAACCATTCTAAAAAAACTCACCTCATCGTAGTGCCGCGACAGCGCTCAGAAACCGCGCTCCGCCGCGCCGCCTCGGCGACCGCGCCTCCCTCTCCATTGCACCTCCGCTCTGCCGGCCGGCATGTCCACTACGCCCAAGCACGGCAGCCGGTCTTCCTCCCTCTCCACTGCGCCTCCCGCCCGCCGAGGCCTTCTCCAGCACGTCGACCTACCGCGGCCTTCTCCACCAAACCTGTCGCAGTCTTCTCCACCGGAGCGGCGAGCTCCGCGCCACCGGCAAGCTCTACACCGGTGAACTCCACGCACCAACGAACCTCCATTCGCAAGTAGCAAGGAGATGTTGTGTTAAAAGAGCATGTTGCAAGTCTATGTTTTAAGTGTTTTAGATGTTTCATAGGTATGTTGCAAGTGTTTTATATGGATGCTGCTAAAGTAGATCGGGATGATGCATATATTGCAATTGTTGTACATGTATGTTGCAAACTTCTGTTCCTAATGTTTCGTCTATTTTTTTAGACATATATTGCAAACTTGGATGTTGCAAGTGTTTTATCTGGATATTGCATATGTTTTATAATGGTTTCAGCTGTTTTTAGGTGTTTTGCAAGTGTTTTAGATGCATGTTCCAAGTGTTTCATCTATCTTCAGACTTATATTACAAGTGTTACATCTGGATGTTTCAAAAGTAGATTGGGTTTTGCACCTCCCTCTCCACCTTCTGTTGCCTCGCCTCTGTGTCTCCTCCTCCTCCTGACGCTGGTTGGGCATCCGAACTAGAGGCGCAGGTGGGTGCTGCCCCCTCCCCCTCTTCTCGATGCTGGTGAGGTTCGCGGCGGAGCGAGCCTCCACGTGAGGCGCGTGAAATGGAGTGCAGGCGCGGGCGTCCGGACGCGGGCATCCGTCCCGACGTCCGGGCGCTAGCATTGCTGTAGTTATTTGCATGTCACAATACATGGGATCTAGGTCTTCCTTGTTGTATTGCTGCCCTAAACCGTCTTTGTCTAGGGGGGGCGGGGGGCAAACTCTTGGATGACAAGCTCTGGCGGGACACACAATCTTTATTTGGCGGACACACATTGCAATAATTGCCAACACGCGGACACGCACGTCAATGCACACATCATTGTCCTCATATGGTGGCTGCTGAAGTTAGAATTTCTGGGGAGGGAGACTGGGACTCCAATTTCCTCTGGACTTAGGGGGTGTTTGGTTCCACCTCCTAAACTTTAGTCGTTGTCCCATCGAATGTTTAGACACATGCATAGAGTATTAAATATAGACTATTTATGAAACTAAATGCACAGATTGAGACTATTTTGCGAGACGAAATTTTTAAGCCTAATTAGTCCATGATTTGATAATGTGGTGCTAAAATAAACATGCGCAAATGACGGATTAATTAGGCTTAATAAATTCATCTCACGGATTACTGACGGATTCTGTAATTTATTTTTTATTAGTATCCGAATACCCCATACGACACCCCCATGTAACACCTCCTAAACTTTAGTCCTTGAATCCAAACACCCCCTTAGAATGAGGGGGCCGGTGGCAGTGGTGGTGGTTCATCAGTCAGGAGTGAGGCGGTGGGGGGCCATGCTGACCAGGCAACAGGAGAACTAGACAATTCGACTCTGATTGGGATTAGAGAAGAGTGCGGTGGAGGTGGCAGTGATAGGAAGTGAGCAGTGAGGTCACCAGCGTTGTCACTAGGGACCAGGGTTGCGGTAGAAACAGCGGCAGTGGGGCAACACAGTGAGAAGGGGGCAGAGAAGGAAAAAGAAGGTGAAGGTTTGGGAAAGACAGGGCTATGGTGGTGGCAGCTGTCGTAGTGGAGCTGGGTTGTGTAGTAAATTTAGGATCAGCAAGGAGTAGATCTAGCGGGTTGACTTCACTAATTTGGCATAAACATCATATAGTTCATCGATGTGAAACCTAGAGAAAGAGACCCATACCTTCAGCTTGGCAGAGGAGGTAGAGGAGGAAGAAGTCGCCATGGCAGTGGCGACGCAATGTGGAGCGGTGGAATCCAGAGGACGGCGGCGTGGCCGGTGGTGCTTCCCGTCACTGTAGTGCGCCCGTGATCGGATGGGGCCTTCTAGGGTTTGTTAGTGGGTTAGTGGCGTTAGCCAACCTCGTTCCCCCACATTTATCTTTTATAGCGCTGTGTGACAGGGGCCCGCCGACTAGGAGTCCGTTGAGCGCCCCCGATCAGGACGCGGTCAAGGGGGAGAATGCCTCGTCAAAGTTTAGTCTTAAATCCTTACATTCTCCCCCTTGATCTTATCTTATAATTTAAGCTTAGTCTTAAACTTAGAATACTTAACTTGGCACCCATTTCATTATAGATTAGTGTATAGAGCATGCCTCGTCATAATAGTCAGCACTATCAGATTAACAGGCTATAATACACCTTTCTATTTTGAAACAGATCTTTAACTTATTCTAGGTCCTTAGCATCCAGAAATCATAGGTTTTTCCATAAACCCATGTCGATTGTGTGTTCTCTGAACGCACTGGGTGGTAAACCTTTGGTAAGTGGATCTGCAAGTACTTGCTTGATACTTATATGCTCAATGCCTTCAAAATAATTTTGAATTTTCTCCTTTACAACATATAACTTAATGTCAATGTGTTTGGCAGCACACTTGACCTGTTGTCATAGGAGTGAACTACTTTAAATGATTATTGTTGTTGTCTACCATTGTTAATTCCGAGTACAAATTCCCTTCACCACTTTTGCCCGTCCCTGAAGCCTCATAACAAGTTATACTATGGGCATGCATCATTGATGATACCACAACTGTTTCTTTGGAGCTTTTTCACAATAAAACTCCAACTGCGAGTGTTAGCAACTACTGTGGATTTCACTACACATCTCGCCAAAGTTTAACATTTGTACCCACAACTATTTGAGAGTACTTGTTCTGTCTTACTCAGCATGAGGCCATAATACTTCGCAAAGTTGCAAGACATTCTTAACTCCATTCCAGTGATCTATATCTGGACTAGACTTCTGCCAAAACATCCTGGATACGTGAGCTACGTCAAGGTAAGTTCTTACTTGTACACTCATTAAGCTTCCAACAGCTAAAGCATATGGAACCATGTTCATTTGATCGATCTCATATTGGTTCCTGGAACACTGAAGGTTCCTAAATCTATTACCCTTGACTATAGGAGCAGGCGTAGGTTTACTTGCATGCATACTTTATTTATTTAGAATATTTTCTAAGTATGCCTTTGCGATAGTCCTAATACCCCTTTTTTCTATCTCGGTGAATTCCAATTCCTAGAACCAATGACGCTTCACTAAGATTATTCATATTGCAACTTGAGGACAAGAACTTCTTCTTCTCCAATGGCAGATTAACATCACTACTAGTGAGTAGGATGTCATCTATACACAGGATGTGGAAAATGAATTTTCCATTCTTGAACTTTGCATAAACGTTATTGTCCTTCTCATTCTTTTTAAACCCAAACTTTCTTATTGTTTCATCAACTTCAAATACTACTGTCTAGAGGCTTGTTTTAACCCATAAATGGATTTCTACAAGCGGCATCCCATACGTTCTTTTGCTTCCACGATAAAACCTTTGGGTTGTGCCTTGTAAATGTTTTCATACAAATCCCCATTGAGGAATGCTGTCTTTACATCCATCTGATGTAACTCTAAATCATAATGTGCCACTAACGCCATTATGATTCTAAAAGAATCCTTGCATGAGACTGGAGAAAAAACTTTCATTATAATCTATGCATTCTCTTTGTGTAAAGTCTTTTGCTACAAGTTGTGCTTTATATCTTTCCACATTCCCTTTGGAGTCACATTTTGTCTTGTAGACCCATTTACAGCCTACTGTTTTTGCTCCATTAGGAATTTCTTCTAAGTCCTAAATATCGTTGGTATTCATCGAATTCATTTCAGCTTCCATGGCTTCTTGCCATTTAGACGAGTGAGCGCTTCTCATGGCTTCTTCAAATAAGGTGGGATCACCCTCCATTTGAATTTCTTCCCTAACATAGATTTCATAGTCATCAGAAAAAGCTGGTTTTCTAATTCTTTGAGACCTTTTGGGGCCTCAGCTACTGACACTTTCATATGGGGCTGTTGTTGCTCTTCATTGCTAAGAGACAATTGATTCTATAGGCTCCTATATTATAAGATCCTTGTTTACATTATTCATCTTCTTCGAAGAGCTAACAACAGGTGTTGTGTAAGTCATACAACATTAACAGGTATTGAGAAATTTGTTGTTTTTGAATCA